TTGGCAGGGGTGTATTTGCTGTAAGAATTGAGCGTGTGGATGGAGAGCCACCATATTGTTCAACTGGTCAAACTGAAAGTACAATTATTGGCATGAGAATAAAAGAAGCTGTTAGGTACTTAGTCAATACATATAGTATTACAATGATTGCAGCAAAATCTGATGTATGCAAAATTATATCTCAAAATTATATAATTCAATATTCAGTTGTATTTTGGTGGAGACTAACCTTAAGTAAAGTTAATAGTTTGTTTACATCTTATCTTTCATATGATAATTGTGATACTACCTTAACTACTTTAAATGCTGGTTTTTCAGACCATGTGTTATATACAGGCCAATTTTTGGTATCCCCAAATCGCAAAAATGTATTAGTAATAGAAATAAATTGTAAAGTTTCACTTTATTCAGGAAAAAATTTACTATGGAGATCTGATATTACGTTTGATTTTATTGGTCAATGTAAGGTTGATCTTCAAAAAGATGGGAATTTGGTATTATATACTGACAAGAAAATAAAAATGTGATCAATTGATCATTATTGTTATAATCAACCAGATTGTATATTTCTTACTTATCTTAGTTTATTAAATAATTGCAATTTAGTAATTTATGAGGCTAATAGTCCAAATGCTATTTGGTGGGAGACAAAAACTACTAATCATTTTGGTTGTTTAAAATAATACTTAAGATTTATATTAGTCATGTAAAACCTTATTAAGTGCAATTCAATTTACAATAGTTTAGTATCCAAATAAAAATTAGAGGGACCAAGAGTGAATTAAATTGCATGCAAAGTCTTTTCTCTGTTTTTGTGCTCTGAGTGGAATATCATATTCAAATCTAATGCTTCCATCATTCCTTGCCATGTAAAACCATCCAACTTAAAATTTAATACTTCCATCATTTTTTGGCATGAAAAACCACCAAATATCTTTTAGTGAAAGGCATCAAAACCATAATTGAAACTTTTATTAAATGTTTTTGAAATTCTTTGTATAAGCTATTGTTGAATAGCTTTATTTAATTATAATTTATTTTTATTGAGCATGAAAAGCATGATAAAATTCTAGCTATAATACGGGTAACCAAGGACAACATGGTAGGGAAAAGAAAGAGAAAAAGAAATGTTTAAAATATATGGTTATTATCTTGGTATGTTCTTCATGTCTCAAGATTGTTTTTAATACGCAGAGTCCAAGTGACAAGAGCCAGTTCATTGACACTACAAGCTTTAGCCAGTTTGCCTATGAAATTAGCTATATCACATCAACCTTAGAATGAGCTTCATATCTGGAGAGCTGTCTACTCACACAAGGTAACAGTGCTTTTGAAGGACTGGGTTTAATGACAAGTTACACAATTAAAGATTGGTTGTTGCAGCCGAGCTACAACGAAACTTAAGACAATTTTAAACACAGTTAAAACATATTTAACTTCAGATGAGCTTTGGTGTAGAAGTTTTGACTAAGCCACCCTAAGTTTCTTCACAGCTGGATGGCTAGAGTGTGGAGTGCTTCTCTTCCCTCCACAACAACTTGTGATATTGGCTGTAGCCCGTGTGGTGCTACAGTTCTCTAGAATCCAAGGATGATTGATCACTTGGTCTAGTGTCAATCTCTTCCTGGGATCCAAGTCCAGCATGCCCATAATCAGATTTTTCGCCTCTGGTGACAGATTGGCAGGCCACTGGAACTCCCCCTCGCGCAGCAAATGCATCTCCAGGTTCGATCGCTGGTAGCCCTTGAGGAGTTCGTATGCAATCACTCCAAGCCCCCAAACATCCACCGCCTTCGTGTAAGACAGCCCATATCTCTCGACAAAGATAAGCTCGGGAGCCATGTACTTCTCAGTCCCGCAGCTCTGGCTCATCTCTCTGGCATCGTCGGTCGCCACTCCAAAATCCCCAATCACTGGCCTGATCGTGCTTGCATCTTGCAGCTTGGTGAAAACGTTCTCCAGCTTGAGATCGCGATGGACAACACCACTCGAGTGGACGCCCTTGAGTGTCTCAGCCAGCTCCTTAACGATCTCGGCTACCTCCTCCTCCCTCAGTGGCCCTTTCATCGCTAGATCGCGCAGGCTAGGGCCACAAAGTTCTATGACCATCGTCCCAAAGCAACGCCCGCCAACCTTCCTCTCCCTCCTCAGCCCATGGAGGAAGACAACTCCAGGAATGGGGCGAAGCTTGTCCAAGATCCTAGTCTCCCTCTCGGCACAACTCTCCGACTTAAACATCTTTCCTGCGTACCTATGGCGGTTGCGGGCTGCGTCGCTCAGCAAGTAGACTTGGCCCTGTCCTCCATGCCCCAACTTCTCGTGTCTGATGTACCACTTGAGAAGCTCGCCACACTCGTCATCTCTAAACTCGCCATCCTCGAGCGCCATCTTCCCCTTTTTCTCGCTTGGTTTTAAGAAAACCTAGCTTCCCACAACAGGTTTAATGATCGCGAAAAGGCCATTACTTTTATTAAACTAAAAACTTCACCAGTAAAAAACTGACCATTGTAAAAGACCATTTTAAGATCCAATGGCTAATATTTTTTGGTTTGCTTAAGGGAAGGGGAGTTAAGATGGTAGTGAATATACTTAAAATATGCTTGAAAATTTAAAATATTCTACCATCTAACGGTTCTTATTCATTTAGATTAATTTCGTATTTATAATTTTAAAACATGTTTATACTTTCTTAAACACTTTCTAGTATATTCTATTTTATTCTACCGGTTGGTATTGCAATAAAATTAATCTTGTGTTTATAAATTACAAACATGCTTATAATTATAAATTTTTATTTGATCAATTAGATTAATAATTAAGAATAACACTACTATTAAGCAAACAAACGCGTAACAAATTATTATTAATTAGAATAATTTATATGGAATTAAAGGTGATCGCTATTTTATAATTACCCTCCAGGGTTGACCAGCGCGTTGTTTGATGCAGTCGGAGTTTTACGTGTACATGCAAACCAGCCAAGCACGGAAGCTTCACGAGCAGAGTTATGACTATGCGCACGATCATTCCCTTCGTGAAGAATGGAGAGAGTCGCGAAAATGGCGTCTTACTCCAACCCAAAATCCATCGCTCTGATTACCACTGGTCTCTTCTTCCTCTACGTTTTGCTGTCTCAGAATCACTTTCCGGACAAGATCGTGGAAGATCTCATCGTTCCAGAGCAAGGCGATGCTCGCCAGTGCCGGAGCCGCGTAGAGTTCCAGTCCTATCGCCGCAAATCGACAGACCCATCGGCGGAAAGCTACTCGCCATCGCCAGCTCTCATCGTTCCAGAGCAAGGCGATGCTCGCCAGTGCCGGAGCCGCGTAGAGTTCCAGTCCTATCGCCGCAAATCGACAGACCCATCGGCGGAAAGCTACTCGCCATCGCCAGCTCTCATCCACCGCCTGCGACGCTACGAGCAAATCCACGCCCGGTGCTCTCGATTGATCCAAGATGATCCAAACGGCGATCACGGCGACTGCCAATTCGTGGTGTGGATCGCGCCATTTGGATCGCAGGGCCTGGGGAACAAGATGCTGGCGATTGCTTCCACTTTTCTCTATGCTCTGCTCACGAACAGAGTTTTACTCATCGCGAGAGATTCGTCCGCAGAGAACATGGATCGATTGTTCTGCGAGCCATTCCCAAAGAGTTCCTGGCTCCTTCCCAGACCCCTGGAGATCCGATTATCCACAGTCAACGATTCATCGCGGATCGGCCATGCCCCGGATCTAAAAATCACTCCTCAGCACTGTCACGATTTCGCGAGCTCGATCAAGTTTCCAGATGTGGCCTACTCGTATCTGTCCGTGGACTACACCCCGGACGATCGAAAATTCTTCTGCAAGGAGCAGCAAAAACTCTTGCAATCGCAGGTAACGTGGCTGTTTCTCCGGTCAAACGTCTACTTTGCTCCGGGATTGTTCTTGGTGGAATCCTTCCGGAGTGATCTCGCGAAGCTCTTCCCCAAACAGCAGGCGATCTTCCATCACTTGAGCCGCTATCTCTTCCATCCCATCGATCCGGTGTGGGATCGCACAGCGCGGTTCTACGACTCATATCTCGCGCGCGCCGACCGCGTAGTCGGCATCCAAATGAGAGTTCCTCCACACTTGCAAGGAGTTCGTCAAAACCTGGCGGCGGAGGTGTTCCAATGCGCCGTGGAGACAAAGATCCTTCCCAATATCAGCAAGAACAACGTCGAGAGGATCAAGCTCCGCTCCTCGATCAGCTCGCAGCAGCAGCAGATCGCGGCGGTGGTGACTTCGCTGGATGAGCACCACTTTGACGTGCTGCGAGAGATCTACCTCAACTCCTCCACCGCCGATGGATCGATCGTGAGAGTGGAGCAGCCCAGCCACGAGGGGCAGCAGCACACCGGATTTCTCGATCACGATGAGAAGGCTCTCGCGGAGATTTACTTGCTGGGGCTCAGCGATGTGCTGATCACGAGTCCTGGCTCCACTTTCGGCTACATTGGCCAGGGATTAGCCGGGTTGAGGCCTTGGCTTATGTGGGCTGGGCCTGGCTCAGGCAGGGACATTTGCTCCAAGGCAAGAACTATGGATCCTTGCTTCTTTTCGTTTGGGGAGTCTAACTGCGATTGTGGAGAGGCTGTCAAGCTTGACAATGTGGAGCGGTGTCAAGATTGGCCTATAGCGCCTGGTGTTCAACTCAAAACAACTTGAATCTTAATCCATTCTTTTTAGGACATGTAGAGAGTTTTATTGTGTCTTCCAATGTGGACCATTTTGGTATGAATTGTTTGATATGCAACTGATTTCAAGGAAGTTATCTTTCTTTGACGTGGTTATGCCTCCCATTCAACGAGCTTGGATGTTACAAAAAGGAATCCACGACTAAGATGTGCAAGGATAAATTCTAGAACAAGAAATGACATAGCAAAGTCATATCAAGATGTTTAGTGATTCACGTCGTGAAGCTCGCCACTTTGATACGCTCATAGGCACCCATGATCTGTCAAAAAATTATACAAGATGCTACAAACAAACATTTCTTGTTTCCATGATGATGGGCTTGCTTTACCGAATGGTGTTACGGAGGATCATGTCATTAGATTTCCATGGGTTTTCCATGTTGGCATATCGTTGTTGTTCCAGTGGGATCAAACTCCTGGTAACAAGTTTTCGTGCATGAATGCCTTCCTAGGACTCGGCAGTGCCGAGCCTGCAAGAATGCATCGTGCTGATAACTTCTTCCAGGAGCCTGTCTCAAGCCAAGCAGATCCACAGTCGGGTTTCTTCCAGCAGCCACCGAGGGACTTATCTTTCAAATCTTCTCATTCAAATGTATGGGAGATGAACGGGAATTTGCGAGAAGCGTTGTCATTGTTAGAAAGGATGCCAAGAAAAAATTTGGTGCCATACAACTTAATTCTAAGCGCTTTAGCCGCTCAAGGTCTCTTTGACGAAGCAAAGGAATTCTTTGCTAAAATTCCCAATCCAAGCATTATCTCGTGGAATACACTCCTTGCTGCATATACTCCAATTGGGCATCTTGACGAGATCATCAAGCTTTACGACCAAATTCCAACAAGGATATAGTCTCAGACACAGCACTCTTGAATGCCTTTTCTGAAAATGGGAAACTTGAGCCAGCAAAGATGGTATTTGATGCAATGGAGGAATGGGACCTTGTGTCAATGAATGCAATGCTAGCGGCATTTTGTGACAGTGGGAGCCAAGGAGATGCTCAGTTGGATGTGTGCTCGGAATCTTAGCTCTTGGAACTGCGTTCTCCGATCATTTGCTCTTGATGGGAATCTTGACGAGACAAAGAGATTATTTGACAAAATGCCCGAGTGGGACCAAATGTCTTTCAATTTCATGTTTGCGGCATATGTCTCAGGCGGGCATCATGGTCTTGCTAAAGTAATGTACGAAACACTACTTCCTGAGAAAGATTCCTTTTCACACGTAGCCATGCTAAGTGCCTACACTGTACAGGGCAAGGTTGACGATGCAAAGCTTTTGTTTGATAGCATGCCATACAGGTCTCTTTTTATTTGGAACTCTATGCTTTCGGCATATGCCCAAAACGGTCATCCGGACAATGCAAAACATCATTTTGATGCCATGCCCGAGTGGGACATTGTCGCTTGGACCTCTTTATTATATTCCAGAAATTATCAAGGAAATGTGGAGGAAGCGAAGGAGTTGTTTGAGAGGATGCCTGAGCGAGATCTGATCGCATGGAATGCTATGTTGTCAGGACATTCCCAACACAGGCATTTAGAAGACTCAAAGTGCCTGTTTGATTTGATGCCTTCCCACAATATTGTCTCTTACAACACTCTGATGGCAGCTTACTCTCAGCATGGATACATCGAGGATGCCCTCTTGGTCTTCCAGAAAATGAGACAGAGGAACTCTATTTCATGGAACACTCTACTTGTGTCATATGCTCAAAATGGGCATACGAATACTGCAAAGGCGTTTTTCTCAACCTTGCCCGAGCAAAATCTGGTTTCTTGGAATGTAGTAATTGGAATGTATGCTTTAAATGGGCAAACTGCACAATCCTTGGAGCTCTTTAGAAACTGTGTTGCTAATGGTGTCAAGCTGGATGATGTATCTTTTACCTCTGCATTGATTGCTTTGAGCCATAGCGGTGAGGTTGACGATTCACTTTTTCTGTTTAAATCAATAATAACAGACTACTTAGTAACGCCTGGCAAGCAACAATATGGTTGTATCATCTCCTTGTTTGCTCGTGGAGGATATGATAGATCCTGTAAAGAACTCATTGATACAATGCCTTTCTTTCCTGATAGTCACGACTGGACGTGCCTGGCAAGTGCCAGTAGAATCTACAAATCTAACAGCCTTGGAATGGGGCATCACAATACACGAAAACAAAATGCCAACTAGCAGAAGCATCTCGCATGCTTGGTAACAGAGCAAGCTTAGACTTGGTTGAAAGGTACCTAAGTCATGTCCAACTTCGCCATGTCCTTGTCGGTCTCGCATTCCCCATAGGCTGGAGCTTGTGTCACTGAGCCTTCTCTCACACTCGAGCCACCTCTTCATGCCGCGAAAAATTCCTCACGACTTTGTTCTTCGCACGATCATCGACTGCTCCTACTCTCTCACATGCTTCTCCGGTTCCAGACGGCATTCATTACGAGCATAGCAATGTGGTCTTGGTTTACAATTTTGCAGCAATCTCGCGAGCGCATGACGAAGTAGTGCATGAAAGCCTCTTCTTGTGCTGTCAACTCTGATATCCTCGACCTTGCTCGTTATAGAGAAAGTGACGCTACCACCTTCCGCTACAAGGATGGGGGATTCAGCAAGGTAAACAAAGAGTTTTGGATCTGATTCGACGTGATCACTTGAGAAACATGCAGCTGGCTGTTTTCTTGGACGCTGATTTCCAAGAATCGACCATCGTACGCCACCAGACCCTCGCACCACTAAGTAGAAGCTTGCGTAGGGAACCAGATGGTTTTCAGACTCATGAAGCTCCTCGCTTCCATCAACAAAGAAGTGGAACTTCTCAGCTCTTGGCTGCTGCCTCTTGTGCTCCTCGACAACCTACACTGCCTCTTCCATCTTCTGGATTGGCGATTGCACGAATTACAAATCACTGTATCCCAGAACCTCGTCAAACGGAATAGAGTTGCTTATCCAAGAATATGCATGCGATAAATAAATTTGACGACTGTAACTTGGGATCTCCGTGTTGTATTTGGTGTTATGAGCAAAAACGTAGCTTCCTCCGTTCTAGTTAACATTTGAAGAAACGAGTGAGCTTACTTGTCCCTGTAGAGAAGATTGAGCTCCGCAGTGGTTAATTAATAAGAGTTCAGCCAATCTTTCCTTGATGCCATCTGGTGGAAACTGCAAGCCACTGCTCTAAAATCAACTTACTCACGCTCTTGGGACCGTAAATGAGATGGTGTACCAAAAATCGCAGACATACCTGCTCACAGTTGCTCTTATGCCTGGAGGTGGCCTTAAAACTCAGGCGGCCCATTCCAATGTATGGTAACTTTGTGGACTTGGTTCACTGGCATAATTGTATCACTTCCTTGGCCTCCCGTAATCTCTCTTGAAACCGGGCCAAGGCTCATTAGGGCTTTAGAATTCTGGACATGTCTTCTCTGGACGCATTGCTGGAAGGAGGAGTGTGGCTTCTGGAAACGCTTGCAGCAGGATTGACACTGTTGGGTTTGCTTTGAAAGGTCGTGAGTGCAACTTTCATGATTTCTGCAAAAACGTGACAACCAAGACGGAGAAGGAGCCGCACAAGTTCCGTGTGATTCGAGACGACTTGCTGCACCCGACGCTCGGTGGAAACAAAATCAGAAAGCTCGACGCTGTGGTCCCGTTCCTCAAGGACGAGGAAATCACTGATGTGGTACGTACTCTGCTTGTTTTTTGTTCTTTCTTTTCTTCCTTTGAAGCGATTTCAATGTCTATCAGGTGACTTGTGGAGGCTGTCATGCTGCTGCTGTAGGTACGAAAAGAAGACTAAGAATTCTCTGGTTTTATACTTCTTCTTTTCTATCTAACGTGTTTTCTCAGCTCAGCTGTGGCGTGTGCTGAGCATGGGTCATTTGCTGCTACGAGGTGAAAAACTTGAAGTCACGACTGGATATAACTTGATATCGGAGGTTTATGGAAACGTGGTGTATGTTCCAAGAACCGAGTATGCCGATCGACAAAAAATGTTAAGCTCGCATATGGAACGTGTTGCTTGTTCTGAAGAACCAGTTCTTTGGCAACTCTATCACCAGAGAAACAATCACTCCTTCAGAAAATTCTAAATTGCTTGAACCCGGAAGAGGAAGAAGAAAATGGGCCGTGCTTGGAGAAGGTGGTGCGAGTGGTCTAGCACTTCTCGGTGAGTGATTTTCAACCTTGATATGTTTGTATCTCTAATCTTTTCTCCGTGCGTTCTAAGATCAGGCTTTATAAGACTTGTGAGATGGCTAAGCGAAAATGAAGTCTTCGAACGAGATGACAAGATCAAGATCGTGGTCGATTCTGGCACTGGAACATCCGCCATTGGCCTGGCTCTAGGAATCGCGTTGCTCGGGTATGCTCGAGTTTAAATCCTTTTGGTGGTATATATCCTTTCTTCCAGCCTTCACCAGTGGGAGATTGTTGGTGTAATGCTCTCCGGTTCTCGCAACTACTACGAGAGACAAACGAAGAACCTTGTCACTGATTTTCTTCAGCAGTTTCGCTGCGATCAGTTGGCAGAGGCTTTGAGTTTACCTCTTGTTTGGGAGGAGAGGAAACGAGTACGCAGGTATGATTTATATACAAGCTTGCGAGCTACAGTATAATAGTATGATAGCACAGGTTTGAAAACCCTGTATAGCCTGACAAACTGGCATTTTGCTAGACCCGATTTACACGTCTTCCCCTTTTTTTCGCTTGGTTTTAAGAAAACCTAGCTTCCCACAACAGGTTTAATGATCGCGAAAAGGTCATTAGTTTTATTAAACTAAAAACTTCACCCATTGTAGAAGACCATTTTAAGATCCAACGGCTAATATTTTTTATTAATTAGAATAATTTATATGGAATTAAAGGTGATCTCTTTCGAAGGACTGGGCATGATGACAAGTTACACCATTGCCAGGCCCATTGCCAGGCACAGAGAGAAGCAAGGATTAATTGTTGCAGGCGAGCTACAACAAAAATTTAAGACAATCCATTTTAATTTAAACATCTTTTCATATCGAAGCTTGTTTATAGATGAGCTTAAGAATTTTCTACTAAGCCACTAAGTTGATGGCTGTTGTGGACTGATTCTCACTCCACAACACATTTTGATATCGGCAGTAGATTGTGTGGTGCTTGTAAGCCACAAATTTTTCCTTTCCAATTTGCCAACTTACCTCGTCTATCCGTCCAACACTGCCTTGGTTTTTGCTAAGTTCCCTCGCCAAGGTTCTCGCCTATGGTACCAGCTCCTACTTGGTTTCAGCTACTCACTGCACGAGCAACGGGGTGTTAGCCATCCTTCCACGGATTCCCAAATCACTCCTAATCCCCCTCCCCGGGTTAGACTGGACTTAAGGTTCGGCTACACTCCCCGCAAGCATAAGCAACCAAGCACACCAAGCTTCCAGGTTCCTAACATCCCTTGGTACCACAAGACTTGATCATGGGACCCTCTAAATCCCAAGTCTTGAGTGCAACACTTGCTTCGGGATGCCGGGGCGAAACACCGTGGCCTAGCGGCCCGGTATGGGTACCTCTCGCCCCCCACTTCCATCCCGAAGGAAGGCCCAAGCCCCTAGGAAGGGCGAGGACCAATGAGCCGCATGGTACTCAAGTGGGGCACCACTCCACATGAGCCGGGAGCACCGCAATCGGTTTCCCTTTCGGGAGTGGGAGCTGCTCTTGAGCACTTCCTTGGATGGCCCCTCCGGCACCAGCTAAGTCCATGTTCACTCCCACCCAAGGCCCCTCGGTCCCAGTCTCAACCTCAAGTCGGTTTGGAAGCCCAACTGGAGAGTCCCTTCAAAACTGGTTCCTGGACCTCACTATCCCTACTATACTTTTGGAACCCCCTGCAGCCCCTCCCCCCTGGGGGACGCACGCTTTGGGCTTTCACCCCTTGACCCGTATTAGTATTTGGACTTAGTCTCTGGCTCGATCTCGGATCCGATTTCGGATCCGACTTCGGATTCGGTCTCGGACTCGATCGCGGACTCGATCTCGGACCCGATCTCGGGCCCGACCTCGGACTCGACTTTGGACTCGGTCTCGGACCCGATTTCGGATCTCGGACTCCGTCTCGAACTCGGTCTTGAACTCGGACTCGAACTCGGTCCCCGAGTCAGTCTCGGACTTGATTCCGGACTCTATCTCGAACTCGGTCCTAGAGTCGGTCTTGGACTCAATCTTTGACTTGGTCCCATCCGATGAACTCTTTGTCATTTTGGTCATGCTTTCGGGGTTCCTTTAGCCTATGACACCTCGGCGGGTTGGTTCCTTACAACTCCACCACCCATAGAAGAAGTTCGATGCCCACATCAAACGTCTCTTTTTTTTTTTTTTTATCCCACGACTTGTTGACCATGTCTCCAGGGGCATCCCCCCACTTAGCAGTGTGCCTAAGTCAGCCTCCCCGGCCAAGAGCCCATGACAACGGAATATAGGTGTCCCTATACTCCTCACCTCACCACGCCCTAGTATGGGGTCGAGACTTGAACCCAGCCTTGCTTTACTAGGGGGTTGGGACTCGAACCCAACCTCCGTAGAATACGTCTACGGATTCGACATCCCCGCAGGGAGTCGGGCGTAGCTCCCTACGCCTGGTCGACCTAGCTAACCCATGCTAATTAGCTTACCTTCGGCGCGCCTTCGGGTCCCAACATATGCCATTGCTCAACTTCTCAAATTGATATATTTTTAATTGAACTTTGCATAAGTACATAGAGTTCTGCCATGCAGAAATTCCTCCACAAGATCTCGCGCGTTCGCTAGGTTCTCCTCCGGTTCCCATGTTGCTTCGCAGTGTGGAAATCCTTTCCACTTCACATGGAACTCTCTCACCTCGTGTCCTTGTCACTTGCTCTTGCGCGCATTGAGGATGGCCTCGACTTCGTATTCCTCTTCCCCTTGGATAACCTCAGGTAAAGGTCTTATTTGGTCCTTGCGAAGCGGATCCTCAAAATACGGCTTGAGTAAATTCACGTGGAACACGGGATGCATCTTCCCCATCTCTCGAGGAAGTCGGAGTCGGTAAGCCACTTTACCGATTCGAGCCTCAATCTCGTAAGGCCCCGCAAACCTGCTTAAGGAACTCAAGATCAATTCATTTACAGGAATACATGCATTTTTACCTTTGGGTCAACTTTCGGCTGATCCCACTTGGTAGCCTGAGGTTTTTGGTGTTCAGCCACACCTTCTCCCCAACTTGGAACTCTACATCCCGGCGCTTTAGGTTCGCGTACTTGGTTTGCCTTTGTTGAGCCCGTTCCAAGGAATCCCTCACTAGATTCCAAATGTTGAGTCTTTCTGCCGTGAATGCCTCCACTGTGGGTAGCTCTCCATGATACTCGGCCACGCCGAGTTCCACAGGACCTTCAATAGCTCGCCCATTGATGACTTCCCATGGACTCACCCCGATGCTCGAATGTGGTGAGTTGTTATAACACATTTCCGCAAGTCCCAAATGACTTACCCAGTCGGTCTGGTCTCCCGAGACATAGCATCGCAAA